CTGCCCGGCTCCGCCTCCTCTCCGCGGCTCCCGTCTCTCCGCACGGCTGCCTCGCCCTCTGAATCTCTCCGTCCCTGACTTTGTGTATCTCTCTCGGTCTGTCTGGATCTCCCCTCTCCATCCTCCAGACCCGCCCGGACATGCAGCTGCAGCCTGTTCACATGCGCTCACCCGCTGGCCTCCCCCACCCATCGACCTGCGCCAAGGTGGAGGAACCGCAGCCTTCGGCCAGCTCCCTTCTGCTACCCAGCTGGCTCAGGGTCGGCTGACCCAGGCTCAAGTTCTAGCAGAGACCCTGGGCCCTTCCTCCCTTGGACCTCGGAGTCCCCACACTCAGCCCCCTCCTCCCTCAGACCCAGGGATCCGGGCCTCACTCACCGCGGCTCACTCTCTGTTTGGCACCCGACAGGATGCCTGGGGTGTCGATGATACTAATGCTCTCCAGGACCTGATTGGGGAGGTGGGCGCACATGAACCTGGGGTAGAGGGAAGGTCAGGGGTCAATGCAGGGAGGGGCAGGAGGAGAGGACACATAAGAAGGGAGACCAGAGGAGAATCAGGCTCAGAGATGGGAAAAATCTTGAAAGAGAACAGAAAGATCAGGGCACAGATTAACAACTATAAAAAAAAATCAGAGCTGATGTTTACTGGGCACTTACTTTGTGCCAGGTGCTGTTCTAAGGACTTTGTATGTATTAATTCATTCAGTCCTCACAACAACCCTACAGAGTAAGGACTATGGTTATCCCCATCTTCCAGATGAGGATAAGAGGAACAGAGAGGTTAAGTCATTTGCCCAAGTCCACCCAGCTAGATGGGAGTTGAACTCAGGCTCCATTGGCTTAACTGCTCCCCTGGAGAAGGCAGGAAGAGGAAGGATCCCATAGAGAGAAGGGAACTGGGGCTGAATAGGAGAGAAACACAGGCAGGGATGGGACAGAGAGGGGGGCCAGGGACAGGAAGATGCATTCCTGGCTCTCAGCTGCACACCTGTTGAGGAAGGTGTTCCCGAAGGGGTTGAGTTTGCGGAAGGGCTTGTCCGGGTCAACGACGAGAGCGTTGCCAGGCACCGTGCCCTCGGTGTCACCATGCATGACGGCCACGAAGCAGTCGGTGGTGGGCTCGGGTCCCACGCGGGAGCCGGGCACCTCCTGCTCCAGGAGGTACTGGATGAAGCTGGTCTTGCCCGTGCTGTACTGGCCAGCCACCAGCACCATGGGTTTGCCGTCAAAGTCGGCATCCTCCAGGGCTGGTGAATGGAAGGCCCCGAAGCGGTAGTGCTCCTCTAAAGGCAGCAGCTTGGTGCGGTACAGCTCCTTGAGTGCCGAGGTCACCGTGCGGATGGCCTCGGGCTGCTGGCCCCGAGCCCCTCCCCGCTTCAGCCAGCTGAACATGGTGGCTGCACACTGCCTGCTGGCTCGCTGAAGGAGATGCACGAGGTGGGGAGAGCTACCTGAGGGAAGAGAGGGTGTTGACAGAGGACTGCCTGGAGAAGGAGGTGGGAATGCATAGTGGGGGAGGAGCCTCTGAGAGCAGTGATGGAGGATGGCAGGAGGTGACGGCTGAAGGAGGAAAAAGGAAGAGAAGGAAGAGAAAAAGAGTGACAGTGGAATGACTGAAAATGGAGGATTGATGATGGACGATCAAGAGATAAACAAATGGAAGGATGCAGCAGCCAATGCAAAGAAATATATTCCTTCATCTTTTTCTTTCTCCTTCCTCACCCCTTCCATTATTTCATACATTTTCACTGAAATCACATCATGTGTCACATAGACCAAAGACCAGTCCCCATACAGTCAGAGCCTCCAGTGAGGTGAGAACCTGGGCACTGAGCAGTCAATGATGCCTGGGAAGTGCCGGGGAGTGGATTTGTAGGCACCAGAGCAGGACAGGATGAACGAACCACAGGATCGGGAAAGCTCTGTCTTGGCTGACTTTTGAGCTGCTCCCTAAAGAGTGAGCAGGACAAGGGCATTTAGGAAGAGGATGGTGTGTGTCATGGCTTGGAGTGATGAAATGGACGGACAGAGTGGCTGGACACATGGACACGAGGGTGAGGAATGAAAACTGAGGCTGAACGACTGCTCTTGGCCCCCCAGATCATGATATTATCACAAGAATAATAACATTTATGATCACTGCATGCCAGACACGGCTCTAACTACTCACTGAATCTTCACAACGGCCTTGTAAGGTAGGGCTATTATCTTCCTTACTTTTCTGACAAGGAAATGGAGGTTTAGGGAGATAACCACAACTTGCCTAAGTTCACTTTGCTAGAGAGTGCTCAAGGTGGGACTCCAGGCAACGTGATCTCAGAGCCTGCACTCCTATCGTGGGTCTAAGGAGTTAGGGAGAGAAAAAATTAGGGACTTAGCGGCAACGAGCACCCGCAGCATTCAGGCTGTGTTCTCTAGATTCCTGTACTACTCTTTCATTCTCTATAGGATCTGTAGTGATGTCCCTTTTGTCACTCCTGTTTTCAGTCATTTGTGCCTTTGCTTTCTTTCCTTTCTTCCCCCTTGATCAGTCTAAGCAGATGCTTATAATTTTAACGATCATTTCACAGAAACAACTTTGGCCAGACTGAAGTCACTAAACACTTTTTTACTAAAAGAAACTGAGACTTCTTGGAGAAATGGCTGACTCCAGGGCTGAGGCAGGGAAAGAACAAGTGAGCTTGGATCAGATAGTGGGGAAGTGCTCAAACACGGATGGAGCGTGTCTCATGGGGACACAGATCCAGCCGGACAGGAGTCCCACTAGGAGATGGGACAATTTGAGCATCAGAAATACTGCAAACCAAATATGTTAAAATCCACAAAATCATAATGATACTTTTAAAAAAGGGAAAAGAATTCGGGGAAGGTGCTAGAGAGGTCAAGGAGAGGCAGGAGCTAGGACCTGGGATGTTGGCAGAGGGAGGGGACCCTGGGCGGTGTCCTATGCAGGGAGGGACCTGAGGGACATCTTGGGGAGGACGCTTGAGGATGGCTGGACAGGCATGGGGTTGGTGAGGGAGGAGAGGCGCTCTTGGGTGGGAGGAGGGAACCAACTAGTCCAGAAGTGGATGAGCGCGGCAGAGGGAGATCCCAAGGAGGGGATCTCCTCTGGTTAGGAGGATGGGGGAGTGGAAGAGACTGTAAGGGACGAGGAGAGTGAGGGACACTGTTACAGGCTGGAAGGGGCTGGGGGTGGTGGAGGAGACAGGTGGTTTGGGAAGGGACTGGGGACACCGGGGAGACCGTGACACACTGACTGCGGTGTGGACTGAGGGTCTTTGGGGAGCGGGGGAGTAATCGACAGCCAGGGCATGCTCGGGGTTTCCGCGGGCGGAAGGTGGGGAGGGCGGACGAGGCTGGCGGGTCCGGGGGCCGACGTCGACCGGAGTGGGGAGCGCGAGGCGGGCGTCGGGACCCCGGGCCGGGG